CTGCGCCGGGCCCGGACGGGGCAGCACGTTCAGGCGCACGTACTCAGCTGCGTCCTGGGGCAGCTGAGAGCGGAAGGCCTGCGCGGCTGCAAGTCCCGCTGCCCCTGCGCCTATGAGGTCCGCTGCCGCCTGCGCGCCGTCTGCAGTGCTGCGCAGACGGTCCGTGATGGAGGGCGGCCCCTGCCCGTTGCTGGCCAGCGCGCCGGCCTCGGGGTCTCCCGCCAGGTCGTCCTCAACAAAGCGGGTTCCGCCGTACCCTTGGTACCTCCGCGCAAGCCGCACGTCCTCGTCCGTGGCCTCTGCGGGAGTGCGGAAGCCGTCCTCGGGATGCAGGGGCGTGTGCTGCAGGGGCCGGGGGTTGGGGTCCTCGCTGGACTGCACAAAATCGTCCAGGTAGAAGTGGCTTGTGACGAACGAGGTGGCCTTGCGGTCCGGCTGGTCCAGGGGCAGCGGCTCATTCCGCTCAAGGTAGCCCACCACCTGCTCAAAGCGCGGGCGCTGGTTGAAGCCGTGCGCCCGGAGCGTCTTCATTTACTGTTGCGCAACTTCGCCCGCCGCCCGTTCCACGCCCCGGCGCTCGGCCCGCGCGTAGCGCAGCTGGGGTACCTGGCGGCGCACGGCCTCCGTCAGCCGGCTCACGTCGTCCAGGTGCCGCTACCCCCAGTTCTCGGTAGCGCTTCAGCAGCAGCGGCTGCAAGTTGTAACTGGGGCACGTCCTGCGGAACCACCGGAGCATCCGCGGCTCGTTGCGGGGCTCTATGGACATCATCTTGCTTTGACTGCCTCTCCAGCATGCGCAGGGCGCGCTGCTGCTCTCTTGTAAGCTGAGGCGCCTCCGGTGGAGCCTCAGCCGGTGCCTCAGCCGGTGCCTCCGCCGGTGCCTCTGCTGGTGGTGCCTCCGCCGGTGCCTCCGCCGGCGTCTCAAGTGGAGGCTTTGGCTTGCGCTTTGGAGCAGCCGGCTCAGTAGGCACGTCCTGCTTCGGTTTGTTCTTGCTCCCAGGGGGCCTGCCCCGCCGTTTCGGTTCCGCCTCCGGCGCAGCGTCCTGGCGCAGCGTCCGGCGCAGCGTGCACCTGCGCCTCTTGCGCCTCCGCCTCGTGTTCGGTTGGCTCCATTTAATTATACGTGGTCAAGATATAACACGAACGACAAAGACGACCCGCGAAGCCGGACGACGTTGCCGTCCAGGTCGGTCAGGCGGAAGCGCATGTGCCTCAGGGTAACCGGGCCCCTGAGGGCCATGAAGTGCCCGTCGTCTGAGCCCGTCTCCACAATGGTACCCACTCCGCTCTTCAGCGTGATCTTGGAGAGGATGTCGTCGCCCAGGTTGCCCAGCACTCTGCTGGCGTTGGCCAGCTGGGCGCAGCGCAGGTAGACCTCGTTGTGCGCCATCATGCGGACGAACTCAAAGACCTGCTGCCCGCCGGAGACAAAGCTCGGGCCCAGCATGTGGTCCACGCTGAAAGGCTTGGTGGGAGAGGCGGGCGGCGCAGCAGGGTAGTCCGCGGCATCAGGGAATTGCTGGCGCAGCTCCAGGTCGTTCAGGATGAGCCTGTTGCCGTCGTAGGCTACGCTCAGGCTGTTCGTGGTCTCGCTATAGGTGGCGGTGGCAAAGTTGGAGCTGATCCAGGCGGCCAACCGTGCGCCAGTGTACGCGCCCTCGGGCAACAACGCCCAGTTCAGCGTGCCCAGCGCGGCGTCAACCCAGTAGAGGTAGCGGCCCCGGTCCGTCGAGAGGAAGCTGTCGGCCAGGCGGATCTTGTAGACGGCAAGCCGGGCGTCGCTCTGCAAGTGCAGGGACTCTCCCAGGTCTACCTCAAAGTCGCTGTCCGAGCCGGCCACTCTCTTGCGGCTGTCCACGTAGATAGTGGTCATCCTTTTCTTTAGGAACCCGCCCGTCCGGCGGACGACGGGCGGCTGGACGGCTGCGACGGAGGTGCAGCAGGAGATGTTTTCACACTTCGCGTTGATCAGCGTGGAGCTGGCGAACAGCTTCTGGCCCAGGAAGCTGAGCGCCGCCCCCATCGGCGTCTTTTTCAAGTGCAAAACGCTCTTCAAAGCGCTTGTAGAACATTTCATTCCTCGGCTTCAGGTAGTAGACGAAGAGGAAACTGTAGGGTTCCCGCGTTGCCTGCTCATACAGCCGGTACAGCTGCTCCTTTGGCAGCAGGGCGCTCAGCTCCTCAATAACGGCGTCCAGCTCGTGCTGGTTGCGCAGCCTCCAGCAGCAGAGGAATTGCATGTTCACCCGCACGGCTGCGCTGATGAGCCGCAGCTTCTGCGAGCTCACCCAGGTGCTTATCTGCATGTGCCGGCCCCTGATGAAGAGAGTGTCCAGGGCGCCGTGAGGCTTGTGCAACTGCGGCGTGTCAGCAAAGTCGTCGATGACTACAAGCACCTGGTACAGTTTCTTCATTTCCAACTTCTTGGACGCCTCCGTGATCTTGCGCTGCTGCTGGATGATGCGCCGCAGCGCCGCCTCGTCCCACTCGTCCCAATACGTCTGCTCCCGCTCTGTGTTCACCCCCAGGTCCCCCTCAATGTACTTCTTGACGGGGATCCAGCCGTCGTCTATGTTCACACTCGGGCTGAAGACGTAAATTCTCTCAAAGACGCCGCGATACTGCTCCAGAATCAGGCTGATCAGAGCCACGGTTTTGCCCGATTTTGATGGCCCGAGGAAGATGCCCGTGCATGGCACCAGGGGCACCACGGGGTCAGAGGGCTGCTTACTGCTATACTCTGTCGTAGGAAACAGCTTGATCTTCCCCATTTCCTTTGCGTTACTTGCCAAATTTGAAGCCGGGAAGCCGTGCGAGTCCGGGAGAAATGCCATATTTACGGCATTGCAGCCGGAGTTTTCCGGGAGTGTCCTGCTATACAGCAGTGCGCTTCCATAGTTTTCCGGGCAATCCGGGCGGCGAGTCCGGGAGTGCATCGCTGTGTACCGACGCACTGCCGGTGTTTTTTTCCGCGCAATCCGGGCGGCGAGTCTGGGGGCGTAGTGCTGTACAGCACTGCGCTTCCAGCGTTTTCTGGGAAACACCGGGGCAATCCTGTGCCCACGCCAGGATTGAGTGTGGCAATCCTGTGCCCACGCCAGGATTGAGTGGGGCAATCCTGTGCCCACGCCAGGATTGACGGCTGGGCGTGTGAGTGGTGAAAAAAAACACTATGTCAGCGATGCTGCGAAGACGGCATCGCTGACACACCTTCGGCGCTGGCCCGGTGATGGGTTTTTCGGGCAAAAAAGCGAAGTCGGAATTCCGACCTCGGTGTAGAGCGAAGTCGGAATTCCGACCTCGGTGCGGCGCAGGCTCGGCAGGCTGGAGGCTTCTATGCCGGGCAGGTGGCGCGGCAGGGTGGCGCAGTGCCAAGCCGCCGTATGACCGTATGACCGTATGATCCGTATGATCCGTATGATCCGTATGACTCGGCCGGCCTGGCATTGACTGCTAAATTTTTTAAATAGGGGTTTATAAATGTTCCCCAATTCATTTAAGGATTATATGTTTCCAGGTGCCAGGAACGCTGAGTTCCAAACTGCGTCTGGCGCTATGGGCATGTTTGGAAAAATACACCTGGCGCCGCGCTGGCAACTTTAACCAGCTCCAGGCCCGTCACCACCAACCCTATCAGGATTTCAGGATTGCAACACGATGTAGGACTGGAGGAAATAAACAGGATTTGCAGCCAGAGAATGGACGCCAAGCGCTTCTCAGGCCACGATGGCCTCTTCCTACTTCCGTCTTGTTTTGCGCTTACTGCAATCAAACGCTGGTTTGCTGAGCGCAGCCCGAGTTCTTAAGGCGTCCCACTTCTTCAAGCAACCTTCTAAAAAAACACATTCTACACACACATATTTCTTTATCTGATGTAATATATAAAAAAATATATCTATATTTGTTTAAATAAGTTTTTATAGAATGTGTAATGATTCAATCATAGGCGCTCTTTTCCACACGTCTCATCTCCGGGCTCCGCCCAAGTCCAAAAAATCAAGCAAAAAATCAAGCTCAAGCCTGCGGCTCTGAAAAAAACTAGCCAAACCTCAGCCGCGACTGATTGCGTTTTGGCTGTGGCTTCGGCTTTGCCCAACGCTCCACCTGCACAAGCGGCTGGCCACGAGCACTTCGTCCTTGGCCTCGGCCTCGGCCCTTACCTTTCCTTGCCCCCTTGTCCTTGCCTTTGCCCTTGCCGCCCCTGCCACGCTGCGCGGCCTCTGCCTCTGCCGCTGCGTCTACCTCTGCATCCATAGCCTCCTCCAGAAGCGTCTCGAGGTTGTCCCTCCCAGTCTCGGTCTCAGTGAGCTGAAGCAGCTCTGACTGCGCAGAGTCAACCTCAGCATCGGCAGCCGCAGCCGCCGCAGGCGCCGGCGCCACCTTTGCAGCCTTCTCCGCATCAGCAGCCGCCAGCTCCTCCACAGCCGCAGCCTTCTCTGCAAAAGCATCAGGCGCCGGCGTCACCTTTGCAGCCTTCTCCGCATCAGCAGCCGCCAGCTCCTCCGCGGCAGCCGCCAGCTCCTCAGCCACAGCCTTCTCTGCAAAAGCAGCATCAGGCGCCGCCTTCTCCACATCAGCAGCCGCCAGCTCCTCCGCAGCCACAGCCTTCTCTGCAAAAGCAGCATCACGCGCCGGCATCGCCAGCAGCCGCCAACTCCTCCGCAGCCACAGCCTTCTCTGCAAAAGAAGCATCAGGCGCCGGCATCACCGCCTTCTCCGCATCAGCAGCCGCCAACTCCTCCGCAGCCTGATTCTCTGCGAAAGCAGCATCAGGCGCCGGCGTCACCTCCGCAGCTGCAGCCTTTTCTGCAAGAGCAGCATCAGCCTTCTCCGCATCAGCAGCCGCCAGCTCCTCCGCAGCCGCAGCCTTCTCAGCAAAAGCAGCATCAGACGCCGGCGTCACTGCAGCCTTCTCCGCATCAGCAGCCGCCAGTTGCTCCGCAGCCGCAGCCTTCTGCGCAAAAGCAGCGTCAGCCTTCTCCGCATCAGCAGCCACCAGCTCACCCAGCTCAACCTCCACAGCCGCAGCCTTCTCTGCGAAACGCTTGATTGTAGCCGGCGCCGGCGCCGCCCTTGCAACCTTCTCCACATCAGCAGCCACAGCATCGGCACTCTTGATTGTGGCCGGCGCCACCCTTGCAGCCTCCTCCGCATCAGCAGCCGCCAGCTCGACCTCAGCCGCAGCCTTCTGCGCGCAGGCAGCATCAGCACCCTTGGTTGTGGCCGGCGAAGCATCCACGTTTGCAGCACTCTGCATGTCAGCACCCGGAACCAAGTCAACCTTGTTCTCAACCGCAGCCGCAGCCTTTTCTTCAAAGTCAGCATCAGCACCCTTGGCTGCGGCCAAGGCCTTCTCCTTCTTCTGAAAAACAGCCTTCTCCACAGCCAAGCCCGCTTTTGTTTCAGGTGTGGCCGGGGCTGCTTCCTCTTCTGCCTTCTCCTCCTCACCTACAGCGGCGGGCTTGATAGCATCACCAGCTGCCTGCTGCCCAGCCTCAGCCAGCGCAGCCTTCTCCCTCTCCTCCTTGGCGCTCTCAGCATCAGGCTCCGCAGCCGCTGCCTGCTCTGCAGCACAAATCTTCTTGCAGGCAGGGGTCGTCTCAAGGTTTGGACCAGCTCGCTTCTGCCCCCGTCTTTGTGCATGCTTCTGCTTCTTGCAGCCTGCCTGACACGCGACATACAGCGGGCGTCCAAATTGCTCCAAATCAACAAGGATGACTGACTGACTGGTCAAACATCTGAACACTGAGCAACACTGACCATCATCTAACAAGAGCAAACGTGTACATGACCTGGCCACGACCCGGCCTGGCCAACACCATCACCAGAAGCTTCGTCAGCGTCACTCACGTCTGTGTCAGAACCATCTTCCGCCCCGCTGTTCTCACCATCAGCCAAGTTCGCGACCAAGGTGGCAGCACTCAGTCTGCAATGGCTTGCTTGGTTGTGTTGAGCATTCGCTCCGCATGTGATCATTGCATCACTGAGGGCTGTCCTTGCGCAGCGCATGAACATCTGTGAGTTGATTGTGTTTCCTTGCAAAACAATGAAAACGAAGTACCTGAAGTGTAACTGAAGGTCACTGCACTAATTTGTCGTGGCGTGGAAACCACAAGTAAGGTAGTGACAAAAACCAAGCGCTTTTGCTGTTTGTCGGCGGGAAAGAAACACCTCTACGGATTGCCTCAAGGTGCTCGCAGGTGGACAAGACAACCAACCATCAAGCCAAGCGGCGAGCTGTAATTGGACGCCAGCTCCAAGGCCTCCAGCGCGTGTCCAGAAGAAAGCCCGCTGGTGACGCGGATGGCGCAGCAGTCGCCCAGAGCACGCTCGACGAGCAACACCCCTGCAGGAAGGATTGCAATGTCTCCGGGGTACAAACAACCAGTCATCAGGGTTGAGTTCTCGAGGTCCAAGCCCTGAGGGCACTCCATCAAGAACTGCACTGCGTCTGCCAGAGATGGGGGTTCAGCGGCTGGAGCACCTTCTGCTTTGGCTGCTTCCGCCTGCAACTTGCGCTCCGCGCCCGCCAAGGCCTCCTTCAAGTCCATACTTGCAAAGATCCTAGAGCCATCCATCTGGTAGCAAATGGTCGGCAAAAAGCCTGGGGTTGGAAACGCGTGGCCAAGCTGGGCGATTGCGAGAGCCGTGGCCGAATTCAAGTTGCAAAACACGCATTGACACGCATCAACATTCCTGCCAAACCGCACCCGTGCCTGGCATGTGACCTGCGTACACTGCGCCGTCCAAAAACGAAGCCAAAGCAACCCCCACCACCTTCAACAAGTTCGCGCGCACGTCGGCAGGGACCGGCTTGTCGTCACTAACTTCTTCTGCCGAATCTGGAGCCTCTGCAGTCGGGTTCATGGCCTTGTACTCGGACAACAGGATGTCCAGGCACCTGTTCTTGCCACTGCGCGACACCAGAAGTATGCGCTAGTACATGGGCAACAAGGACACTGTAACAGTCACACGCAAACACAAGTCTTGCAAGTTTGCAAGCGGAGCTGCTCTTTGCCTAAGCGCTCCCTGTTGAACACCCAAGAGCCGTCGACAATCTTGCGGTGGTGCTCAGTCATGCTGCTCTTGAAGCCGTCATCTTCTTGAGCAGCGCAAAGTGCGTCCAAGAAGTGAAAGTCCATGCCCAGCACATCTGCGGGGACGTCCATCCGCAAAGCACGGGTTTTTCCCGCGCTGCGTTGCTTCTCCTGAACGTCCTGCTTGAAGTCAGACATCGCCTCAGGGAAGCCAGAGTTGTTCTGGAAGGCAAATCATCAAACAACATCACCTGCTGATCAAGCCAAGTTAAGTTGGTTGAAGGAGCAGCCAACTCCAAGCAAGTCCACAAACTCCAGTTCCAAGCCACCAGCCTTGTTCAGGAAGCGACAGGCTTCATTCACCGCCTCCTTGGTGAGCCGATTGGGGCACGCGCTCATCAACTTCTTCACCGCACCCTTCTTCAGGCGCGCTATGACCGGGCGGCCACACAATGCGGACAAGGCAAAAGCGTCCACGCTTGTCTGGACAGGCGCTGCGTGCACAGCAGGCAACTTTGCCAAGTTGCGTAGCACTGCCGGATCGCTCTCTGCAATGCCTTTGCCTCAGCCTCAGGTAACTTTTTGCTGGCCGGCCTGCGGCGGCAGTGACATTCCGTCGCATCCTCAGTCTTTTGTGCAGGGAAGGGAGACAGGCGAGAGAGGGTGTTGTGTCTGTAAGTGTCTCAGAGCTCTGTTGTTGAGGCGACGAAATTGTTCAAAAAGCAAGAACTTTTTCTGTCCAGTGCCAGATGGCGCCGGAAAAATCTTATAGCTCCAAAGAAACACCTGGAGCATATAGTTCGAAGAAAATGGAACTCCAACTTCCCCAATGGTTCCGTCGAGGCTGGACGAAACTGACAGTTCCAAAAAATAATGAACTATAACTGTCCCGACGCCTCCGCCAAGGTTGGAAAAAACTTATAGTTCCAAAAAAAAAGGAACTATAACGAGGCTGGAAGCAGCTTAAGTTCCAAAAAGTTCAAACAAAAGGAACTATAACTGTCCCGACGGCTCCGCTGAGGCTGGAAGAAGCTTATAGTTCCAAAAAAAAAGGAACTATAACTCAACTACAATTGTCTCGGTGGCTCTGTCAAGGCAGGCGTATTTTTTTGAAATTTGCACTAAGTACAAGGAAAAATTCAATTCTTGTCACAACCCACACTCTCCGTCTCCGCCCACCCCCCGCCACCCGCCCCCCACCCCCCACCCCCCCTGCGCCCCACCCCCCTCCACCCCCCTCAAACAAAAAACCAACCGCGCCAATTCTGGCATGCTGGCAGACAAACAACCCAAACCCCAACTCAAAAGATAAAACGTGCTGCAACCTTGTTTAAAAAAACACAATGATGAAAAAAGTTATGACCCCCCCAAAAAAATGAAAGTTCCTTGCAGTTCCTTTTCAAAAGGAACTTTAAGTTTCTGACCTGCCGCACACGCCTGAGATGTTTTGATTTTTGATCAAAGCGAGCATGTTTTGGCATTCTTTGAGCGTAGAAATCTTCAAATTTCACAACTATGCACGCTTGAAACTTGTAAAAATCTTCTTGGTTTAGGCAGAAAGCGAAACATTCCAGGCGTGCGCGGGGGTTCAGAAACTTAGAGTTCCTTCTGAAAAGGAACTGTAAGGAACTTTCAGTTTTTTCGGGATCATAGATTTTTTCGGGCGTTTTTTTAACCAAAGCTTTTTCAGGGTCTGTTCAGGAGAAGGGCTAACGATTCCTGGCCGGCTAACGATTCCTGGCCAGCCATGACTTCGATCCTCGACACACCCAACCGGAATTGTTTTTGTACTTAGTGCAAATCTTGAAAAGATGCGTCTGCCTGCCTGCAGCGCCGCCGGGACAGTTACAGTTTCATTTTTGTGGGACTTTAAGTTGCTTACAGCCTTGGCGGAGCCGTGGGGGTAATTACAGTTCCTTTTTTTTTGGAACTATAAGTTTCTTCCAGCCTTGGCGGAACCATCGGGACAGTTATAGATCCTTTTTTTTTGGAACCATAAGTTTCTCCCAGGCCACTGTGGCAGCTTCTTCCAGTCTTGGCGCAGCCACCAGGGCAGATATAGTTCTCTGTCTGTTGAGACTGTAAGTTTGTTGCAGCGAACAGTTGTTGTTCTTTTAGCCTCGACGGTAGAAATATAAGTTGCTTGGAACTACAAGTTTCTTGGAACAACTTTAAATTTCTTGCAGTTTCGTGCAGCCTTGGCAGAGCTGAGCCAAGGCTGGTGTCAGGGCGAATGTGATGGCTCCATCGGGCAGAAAGTGCGACGGAGAGGTTGCAGAAACAAGTCAAGAGCAGTGATAACATGTTTTTTGAATGGATGCATATTGGATATGGTGTTTTGTTAGAAGACATAGCGCACAGATAGAATATCTATATTGACTTGCCTCCGGACCGGACACTAATTTCAATCGGCGTCTCACGCAAGGTGCTGTTTGAGCGACAGACGTGTGGGGCACTTTTTGGGTTAGGGACTGAGAGAAATGTCTTGTTTTTGATGACTGCTGGGGTTCGCGGTGACCCCTGTGGTCAGATCGAATGAGTTGCTCGCCAGATCGAATGAGTTGCTCGCCGCAAGCGCATGAACTTTTACCAGCGTGGCGTGTCTCTAATAATAGTTCTGATCCGAGGCCGGAGCTGTAAAAAAATGGACGGTTGATTGATTGTGAAGATGAGGCATTGGCAGTGGTACTTGTGCATTGTGCAGGGAAGTCATTGACATGCGTGGTTTCTCCAGAGCGGCTGGAGAATAGATGATGGAGAAAGCAAGCGTAAGAGGGTGACAGAACAAGTTGACTAGACCAAGCATAAGCGCATGAACAAAGTTAGGGAAATCCTGCGACGCAAGTTTGTGAAGCGAACGCTGCCATGAAGCGGCCGGATCTGGATGTTGCGGATGGAGATGCTGGGCCTGCCAAGAGGCAGCGTGATACTCGCAGCGTGGGCGATGCTACTTAGATGCAATTGTTTTGCATGTATCCTCGGATCAAAAAATGCAGCATGTTGCACGATCTGAGGATGAGGCGCATGAGGACCAACATCCTGAAGATCTTCCTGATCAGGACCGCTGTTGAGAGTTTCAACAAACTCGCCCTGACAGGCTTTGCCCGCTGGAAACAAACGTGTGACAGTGGCAGGATCCAGCGTGCAGCTTTTACAGATGGTTTGCAGATGTTTTTGCTCAACCCTGCCGGCCCCTGTCTAGCTATAGCTGCCATGTCATCTGCGGAGGCGAATGCTGACGTTTTTGAAAGGAGGACCGCAGAAGCTGCAGAATCTGATGATGCTGTCGGTGCTGAGGAGGTTGCCCTCAAGGTGTGCGGCTGTCTCATTCTAGCCGGCGCCACGGTCGGCCAGGCAGGCCGGGCATCAGGCCCTATAGAATGGTTGCGGAACACGCTCCTCGGCGTGGCGGCTGCGCCGCGCCAAAGCGATCAAGCAAAGGTTTGGGTGTTGTTTGCCGCGGACTGCCTCTTCCTGGTGTCCTGCAAGTTGCGCGGTTTCTTGCCTGCGCACACTCCTTGTGTTCATTATTGTTTCTGTTTGCAGACAAGGTTCGGTTCAGTGTTTTCAAGCAACTTTGCTTGCGGATGCTCAGGCATGCCCGCGAAGGTCCACGCCAAGATGCCTGGGGACGCCTGGCCAGAGAAAGTGCAGATTCCAAGTCCCGCGTCATCGTCAGATTTGGACTTGAGCCGCGCCTGTTGGATGTTGGCCTGGCCATGCTTCCAAGATGATTTCTGGAAGGTTTTGTGCCAGAAGCTGCACAGTGCGATGTGTCCTACGTAAGAATCTGACTATTGACAGAACGACGCGCGCAAAAATGTGTGGCAACTGCAATGCAGGTATTGCTTTGCTTTGGGGCGGCAGTTAAGGCAGATGTACGTTTGGTGTCGTGATCAATAGTGCGTCGCCAGGAGGATGAAGAGGAAGATGGAGCCGTCGGAGTCGGAGCCGGCGGAGCCGGAGCTGGCGCGCCGGGGCCGCAGTCTTTGCCCGAGCTCTTCCGGTGGCCTGCGCGGTATGCTCGACGGCTGCTGCTCGATGTCGCGCGTCCAGGTGTCTGTGACCACAAGCCAGCTGACTGCCTCCAGGGCTTCGCGAAGCTGATCCGTCACTGCGACTTTGAGCTGTATGAAGCTTATTCCGGTGCTGGCACAGCCGGAATAACGCTGAAGCAGGTTGTTCGAGAGATGACGGCTGTGGTTCGCGCTGCCTCCCCGGAAGTTCCCTGGCCCTTGCCGTGCGTCAAGACGGTGTCAGCTTGCGATCGCAATCCGAACTGCCGCGTCTTTTTGACCTCGCTTCATGAGGATAGCCGGGCAGCCCGGCAGCCCGTGTTCTGTTCGACGCCTTTAAAGCCTTTAAAACTTTGATGCGCAAGAACGTGCAGGTGTCCGTTGTTTTTTTTGGCCTGTTTTGGCACATATTCTGAGAACGTTGAAAGGCGCAGACACTCATAAGAAAAACATGTCTCATACGCAAGTAACAAGGCGACCATTTGGTTTCAATCGGCGTGCAGTGTAGCGGTGGAAAGTGTCCGCGCAACCAGTCCTTCGTGTAGCAGGCAAGCGCTTTTGCAGCGCAGCGCGTGGCATGGATCCCTTGTTGAGATCTGTCAGTGCTGGTGGATTTCGCCCCAAAGCTTGTCCATTGCCAATCATCCTGCGTTGTTTGTTTCTTGTCGCAGCTCGCCGTCGTTGGCGTTTGCAGCTAAAGAGACAGAGAAAACAACAACGTTGAGACGTTGCGCGGCGCGCGCGCCTGGGACTCCTGGGGCTGCCGTTATTTCCTCTTCTATAGCATTCAACTGCCTTGACGTTTGGGTCCTGTGATTCTGACCATCAGTGCGTTTGTCGCGTCTCGTCTGGTTACTTGGAGGAGAGACGCCGCAGCCCGGAGATTGGAAAACAGCTCAAACATGTGTTCTTTTAAACTATCGTCCGAAGTAAAAGAGCTGCGCTTCTTTTGGTCGCCCGCAGGAACAGGTGACGCTGGTAGGCAATGCTGAGGGTGTTGCTGGTGATGTTGGTGGTGCGTGGCTGTTTCGCGGTCTCTCAAACGGCACCTATCTTTAGGTGCCGTTTGGGAAGGCTTGTCAGAGGCTTGTCAAAGCAGGTGTTGCTGGCAATGCTGAGGGTGTTGCTGGTGATGCTGGTGGTGCGTGGCTGTTTCGCGGTCTCTCAAACGGCACCTATCTTTAGGTGCCGTTTGGGAAGGCTTGTCAGAGGCTTGTCAAAGCAGGTGTTGCTGGCAATGCTGAGGGTGTTGCTGGTGATGCTGGTGATGTTCTTTTACAGTCTTGCGCCCGAAGTAAAAGAACGGCATTACTACGCCTTCTTGTCGTCAGTTGTCTTGCGCTGCGCTGCTTCGTTCCCGCGTGTTAGGAAGGTAAGGGAGGG